GGCTTTTTTTTTTTTTTTTATAAAACTCATTTAGGGGCCAAATTCAACCTTACCCGAAGCTATTTATGGGGCTTATATATTCCACTTTGGGTAAATACTCACATCTTACTGAGTAATATTATGGTTTCAAGTAAGGGATCAGGAGAGAATGTGGTTAAATGGAAGGGCTTCCTCAGGTGGTTTCCGCATCTGTGATCCTGGAGGAAGCACTCACCTCCCGAGCAGTGGCCTGAAGGGTGTCCAGATGGCGGCCAGTGATGTAAACTGTGGCACCTGCTCGGCAGAGCTGCAAGGCGATGCCACGGCCAATACCCCTGGAGGCACCAGTCACTACACACACATGGCCCTTCATGGGAGCTGCCATGACTCACAGGTGAAGGGGGAAAGTCTGTGGAAGCAAAGACTTGCTCTGAGGGAAGTCTGCAGATTTTGTGTGGAGTGGAGGACCCCACTAGGGATAGATAAGAGGGGAAGTCAAGTTTTCCGAATCCTTTGAGGGGAGATAAGTTTCATATGGGGACAACTGAGTGTGGTCTTCAGGGCAAGACTGACTGTCCCTTTTGAGGCCCAGGGAGCGCAAAAGGGACTGGTTGGGGCACCCAGTGCGACTCTAGGCGGGGCTGACTGGGTGGGGGAATCTGGCGCTGCAGCCTCTCAGGACGCGTCCACGCCAATTTCTGGCCTCTTGGAGCTCAGGGTCCCGGCTTGCCCTCGTCTGGTTGAGCCAGGACGCGGCTTCCGGATCGGGGATGTACGCGCAGCCCGGAGACCCTGACCCCTGAATGGGAGGCGCTGGCGCCCCTTACCTGCCACCTGTGCTGCCTCTGGGTCCTCGCGCCGCTTTGCTCGCTACACCTCTAGTTCGGGAACTTTATTCCGGCCGCACCGGCAGGACGAAGTGATTACGTGTCGTCGGGCAGAAAGCAGGCTAGGGTGGAAGTACAGGTTCTGCCCTGCGTTGAGCTGGCGACATGCAACCCAGGGGTCAAGGATCGCATGGTAGGACCGTAGGCGATTCTGGGCTGGGACCGAGGGGGCGGATTTCTGGGTCGCTGTTCCGACGGCTAATTGGGGGCGGAGCGATTTGGGGGATCCACCCACCCCGTCAGGCCGAGGCCGTCGCGTAACTGTGACGTATGCTCTGCGCCGGAAGCGCCCCGACTTTTTAAACTCAATTAGGACCAGGCGCCCCGCCCCGTCGTTGAGGGTTGGTTTGCTGCCTGGGAAGTTTTAGCTCCTGGAGAGTTCCCAGTGGAGCTGGGGTCGAGCTCTCTCACAAGGCGAGGTGCCGGTTCCCAATTGGTGGCACACGGGGCGCGGGGCTAAGGGCTCGGGGCGCCTCTCAGTTGGCCGCGAGCGGCGACCCTGACCGACTCCATTGGGTCTAGGAGCCAGCATCAGATTTGCACCCCCACCCGAGGCCTGAAGCTCTAGGGTATTTCCGTCTGGCGCTGAAAGAGGCTCCCGAGACTGGGGAAGAACGAGGTAGAGAGCAATTTCGGGGGATTAGACCAAGAACATAAAAACTAAGACTGGCAAGAAAACTTTCGGGGGTCACTAGGGTGTGGGGACTTAGTTTCATTGCCCTTGTTCTCTCCCTTGGCTCCCGCCCCTAGATTGAATAATGAAACATAACCTTATTCTCTACTAAGTCTCTTTAAAATATTTCTTTCCTCGCCTTTCCAAGCTGATGGTGCAAAATATTTTGAAGGAAGTGGAGACTCAGGCCCCCAGCCTTGTCCACGAACAGAACTGGCAGTGAGATGCTGCTGGAACTGTTAGGGTTCAGTTTCTTGAAACCGCTTTGTTGAGTATGCTTTCATTCTTCTACCCAGTTCCCAACCGTCCCTTTGCCAAAACTAAAAAATCTCCAGAGCCAAAGCAAAAACCAGGCAGCATAGGTAGCATGATGCAGGGGAGACAGCTTGCACAGATTTGGTCGAATCAAGACTCTTCTGCTGTAAAGATGAAATCCTAGTCGGGCATGGTGGCTCAAGCCTGTCTGTAATCCCAGCATTTTGGGAGGCTGAGGCGAGAGGCTTGCCTAAGCCCAGGGGTCCGAGACCAGCCTGGGCAACTTGGCGAGACCTCATGTCTACAATAAATCAAAAAATTAGCCAGGCATGGTGGCGCATGCCTGTAATTCCAGCTACTTGGAAAACTGTGGCAGAAGGATCGCCTGAGCCCAGCAGGTCGAGGCTGCGGTGGCGGTGAGTGTGCCACTGCACTCCAGCCTGGGCGACAGAGTGAAACAGTGATTAAAAAAAAAAAATTAGGCCCGGTGCGGTGGCTCACACCTATGATCCCAGCACTTTGGGAGGCCAAGGTGAGAGGATTGCCTGAACCCACTGATTCGAGACCAGCCTGGGCAACTTGGTGAGACCTCATCTCTACAATCAGTCAAAAAATTAGCTAGGTGTGGTGGCGTGTGCCTGTAGTTCCAGCTACATGGAAGGATCTCCTGAGCCCAGAAAGTTGAGGCTGTGATGGCCTGGAGTGTGCCACTGCCCTCCATCCTGGGTGACAGAGTGAGATTCCTACTCCAAAAAAAGAATTAAGGCACAATCCTAAACAAATTACTCAACTTTTCCTCAGCTGTAGGAGAGTACTTACTTCATACAGCAGATGAAAGTTTAAGTAAGACCTAGGTCAAGTACTTTGGCCATTGCAAGTTCCAGTAAACCTGAATTCTCTGAGCTCTCTGAGAACACAGGTCTTTAGCTGTATTAAAGTGATAGGGAAAGGTCAAAGCTGAGTCACCTTTGCTCCTTCTTGCACGAGTCCCTCTAGGGATGCTCAGGCTGTATCCTGGCTTTGCTTGTCTCTTGGAATTACTTCTACAACGAGAGGGTAGCCAAGACCACCTCACTTGCTGATAGGGGAATATGTGTTGGTACTTGCTAACAGAAATTGACAAGTCTGACCCTACTTCCTCCCTCTGCCTCCTTCCCACTTTTCCTTACGGGCTCCTCTATTTCCAAGGGTGTAAGAAAGTGTTCTGGGTGTGTGCGGCTGGCTGTGTCAGGAGCCGTCAGGAGAAGATGGCGGTCTCCACAGGAGTTAAAGTTCCTCGTAATTTTTACTTGTTGGAAGAAGGACAAAAAGGAGTAGGCGATGGTACGGTTAGCTGGGGCCTTGGAGATGATGAAGATATGACACTTACAAGGTGGACAGGCATGATTATTGGGCCACCAAGGACAAATTATGAAAACAATATATAGCCTGAAAGTAGAATGTGGACCTAAATACTCAGAAGCTCCTCCATCAGTTAGATTTGTAACAAAGATTAATATGAATGGAATAAATAATTCCAGTGGGATGGTGGATGCACGGAACATACCAGTGTTAGCAAAATGGCAAAATTCATACAGCATTAAAGTTGTACTTCAGGAGCTAAGATGTCTAGTGATGTCCAAAGAAAATATGAAGCTTCCACAGCCTCCAGAAGGACAAACATACAACAATTAATTTTAGTGGATCTCAAACTTGTCTTAAATCAGCAACCTTTTACTCATGTTAATGCCCTGATTAAATATCACAATGCGAAATACCCACACCTTAAGTAAAAGAATTCCAGCTGGTAAACATGGCCTGGACATTTGTAAGAATATATTTAATATATGTACACCCATTATGTTTTCAGTTTACAGGAGGAAAAATGCGGCATACTTTTTTTTCTCTTGTTAAGGCACTGTCATGTAAACATAAGCCTGGAGTACTCGAAAGAGAATTCAGGTTTACAAGATGAAAGCGTAGTGAGAAGTGTCAGCTGGCAGTGGAAGCATGTGTGTTTCTGAAAAGTAAAAGTCTCAAGAAAGAAAAACAGAAATGGCAGGCTTTATCCATCTTGCTTAGTGAAAGAGCTGCAGTTGAAATTGTTTAAAGTAGCAGGTATAATGAATATTGTCATAAATGTTAATTTTTGAAGTGGTGTGGGTGCTGACTACTAGTAGTATCAAAAATATGTTCAGGATTGTTTTGATACCTGTGTTTATAATAAAAAATGTTGGGGGGATTGATGAATTTCTGTTAAAAGCTGTTCCTGTGTGTTACATGTAACAGACATGGTAAATATTTGTTTACAGTCTTTGTTTAACAAACCATGAATTTAAGTTTAAGTGAAGTAAACATAAAGGAAATAGGTGTATGGATATGTGATTTTGAGATTAAAGTTAATCTTAAAATGTAAATAAATGTGGAACGTGTCCTCAGGGGGGAAAAAAAAGTGTTCTGGTCTCCTTCAAATTCACCATTATCAAGGACAGTGGGCAGTGCATCCCACTGAGAACTGCAGAACTCTCAGCACAGAGCAACTTTGTCCAAATCTCTGCAGCAGGAGACTTGACCAAACTCTAGCATGGCTTTTAGCAGCACAAGGCCATGACATCTTGGATGACACCAGGCCCATTTAAAGTGCTTGCTTGAGAAAGCGCAATGCATCCAGGAAGATTTACTGTGTGTTTTAGCTAACACCAGATGCCAGACCCCTGACCTCCCTCTCTCTCAGAGCACTTACTAAAAGTGCTTGCAATTGTAAATATGTCGTATCTCTTGCAACTCTGAAGCAGCAGCTCCTTCCTTTGAAATGCAATCATCAAGAACAGTAAGGCCTGACTCCCAGTCTCTGTGGGAGGACAGAACCTTAACTTATGTACGCCCGCTAGAAACACGACTGGCCTCAACCCATATACTCCATTGTTACTGAGCCTGGTTTTTCCCCTCTCTCCTCCCTTTAAAACACCCAAATCACCACTGGACAAATCCAAACGGAGCTCAGCTGTTTCCCCTGCTGTCAGTAGTTACTGAATAAAACCTTTTTTCCCCTACCTTAACTAACATCTGGCTGTTTGTCTTTAAAACCATGTATCAGAAGGTCTAGCCTATGCCCCTCCTTAGCCCTTTTCAGTCCTGGGGGGAATCCTGCTCCGCTGCTGCTCATACAGGGGACCAAGACTCTGGGGATCACCTCTAGTGGGGTATCCCTGGGGCTGTGGAGGGATGGAGGTGTGTCCTGTAGGGACTCAGATCTTAGACCGAGATGGGCAAGGATACCCTTGTTGCCTGTAGGCAGGAGCCTAGACAGAGGTGACCTTTGACGGAGACAGGGATAACAATGTAACACTCCAGGAAGGTGAAACCTGAACGGAACAGGGTTGTGTCCAGCCTGTGGAGCAGCCTGTTTGTGGTGATCCCTTCACTTCTTTGAGTTCCCACCCTTGGTCTCACCATGATTGTCTAATTGTTTCATGACCAGAACTGGAAGCATGTTGAGAACTGAATCATTGTCTTATGAGGCTTGCCTGTACCCATTCACCCCATCCTGCCAAAGTCTGGGCACAGAGGAGGCGGTAACAAGCACCAGCTGACTGGGAGATAAGGTTAGGGAGGGCATTCGAGTGAAGGGGTCAGTGGCTATGGGCTGATGGGTCAAGAGTAGTGGAAGGATGGGAAGCCTGAGAAGGCATAGGCAGAAGGGCCCAGGAAGGAGGGCTTGGTGGAGGGAATGGACCAGGCCAGTGGGAGATGACCAGGAACTGAGGGTAATGGAGAGGGACTGTGGCAAATGACTTGAGGTCGTGGTGGGGGCTCACCCAAGGGATGAGGAGGCCAAAAACTTATGGGATCAGTTGCCTCACATGATGCCTCAGAGATGGTGTCAAGGCCTTTGGGGGTTGTGGGTGGGTAGGAGCCAGAAAGAGGAAGGAGAAAGGGCAGCTCTGGGCCCTGCCGCCTTGTCTTGGTTGTCCATTGGGCTCAGGCTCCTCTGGGGCCCTGGTGCATCCTCCTCATTCCCTGTGCCTGAATCCCTACCTCACTGTCCCTCATGTCACATTACCACTTCCTTTGCCTGCCAGGGACCTCCCCTCCCAGTCGTGGGCCCAAAGGGCCTTCAGGAGCTGATGGAAACTCCTCCTCAGTGACTTGTCTCATCCTTAGCTGGAATTTCAGATCTCTTGGTCCAGCCCTGCCTCCATTACCTTCCAATTTAGTAGAGATGGACTGGTCAGAGCACACATCCATGGAGACACCCTGGAAATGGAGACTCCACAGTCAGGCTCATTTTGACATCCCAACTCTTGGTCAGTAACTCTAGAAAAATGAATCACTTTTGGTGTGATATGTATCTCACAGCCATGGTGTGAGTTCACTTCCGCGGAGGAGGCCAGGGCTGGGTTGGCCACTCAGGCTGGTCTCGTCTAGGCATTCACACTGCTTCTTCGTGGTCGTTATTCTCTATTCCTTCAGCCATCCCACACACTCTCTTTTACTGGTGGGGAAATTTCTGGTGATGGGAGCAGCTGCATCAGGGCCTGGGAAAGGGTGGGGTCTCTGGGTCCACTTAGAAGAGTGGGATACAAGGGCTATGCCAGGCCTCAGAAACTGGACATTACCACCCTTCAGCTGGAGAGAGACCAAATATGCACACAGTTGAATCTCTTCTCTGAATATAGGGATTATGGATGCTGATACAGGGCCAGTCCCCTGGCTGCTCCTCTGGTGGCTGCCTCCCCTCCCTCTGATCCATCCTTCCCACTCCTCAGCCCCAGTGAGCTTCCTCACATACAAATCTGATCATGCTATGCTCCTGCTTAGATCCTCAGTTGACTGTGTTAATGCTCTGCCATGATACCCCATGGACCTCCTTTTCCCATTTTTGTGTTTTCAAGGCTGATAACTGAAGCTTTTATTGGAGGACTGCCCTTGGCCTCCTGGAGCTGCTTTGTCTTAGGTGGCAGTATACCCAATGACTGCTCTGTGGTTACTGGGCATCATGTATCAGTCGCAGTGATGATGGGAATGAAGGCCCAGGAAAGCCTCGTCCTAGGCTGGGACTACTCTGAGGCCTCACACTCTGGAGTAGCTCCCTTACATCTTACAGAAGCCACTCTCTGCAGCTGAAAGGGTGCTCTTGCTTGGTTTCATCCACTCCTTTGCTGGTGGTCTCCTTTGGGAATACTCTATAAATCACTATAAGTCATATATCTTTACTTCTTTCTCTTTGGAAATCGATCCCATATCAAATCTAAATTTAAGCCACACCCAAACTTCTAGCTATTTGGCCACTTTTGTGCCTTGTACCGGCCTTAAGAAAAATTATCCTTTCCCCACTTCCTTCCTCTCGTATTTTCAGGGCACTTGGGGTAAACTTGACTACACTCATCTTACCTAATTTTACTAGCCTTCCCTGGTGTCTAGTGTGAGTGTGGTGCTGGACAAACAGTAGGTGTAAAATATATGGATTTTTAAAAATGAATATTGATTCCCCAAATGTCCTAGGCCTCTCTAGTATCAGGCTTCTCAGATCCTGAGTGTCTTCTATCTCCAATCAAAAGTGATTAACTGTTTCACTGCCTCAGAGCTCTGTACTCATTTTTTTGAGATTACTGAATGCTTGTCAGACAGAAACAGGATGGTGTAAAGAGCACTGTTCTCTGGTTTCTTGTGATTCCAGGATTGAGGTCTAACTTCACATTACATGGACTCTTGGGACCCCAGTTCTCCCACTTTCTTCAATGAGTGGAAGTCCTAGATGATTTCTAAAATCTGAAATGTTCTAAAATCTGAAATGAAAGTATTTTGTGGGCTGGGTCCAGATCTGCCTTGTTCTTTGCTCTGTCTGCCATATCCCAAAGTCAAGAATGATGCCTGGTGCAGAGCAGGTTGTTAAATTTATTTGTTTAGAGAAGGAACTGACAATTTCAGTGTCTATGTATCACATATAGTATTTCACTTAATTCCCAAAGTGGTGCATGCAAGTTTAAATGATTTAGAAGCCCATGCTTCTCCCATAATATCTTGTGACCTGCCAGGCGCAGGGGCTCACACCTGTAATTCCAGCACTTTGGGAGGTGGAGGCGAGAGGACTGCTTGAGCCCTGGGGTTCAAGACTAGCCTGGGCAACTTGGCAAGACCTTGTCTCTACAATAAATAAAAAAAATTGGCCAGGTGTGGTGGTGGGCATCTGTGGTTCCAGCTACTTGGAAGGCTGAGGTGGAACAATCACCTAAACCCAGTAGGTTGAGGCTGCAGTGGCAATGAGCATGCCACGCACTCCACTCTGAGTGACTGAGTGAGACTCCTACTTAAAAAAAAGATCTTGTGACCTTTAGGAGACAATGCCATTGTGCAAACATTTGCTCCATGGAGGCTTTCAGTGAGAGCTGTGGAAGGTTACAGGTGATCCTGAGGCCTTTCCTCTTTATACCATATATGCAACTGCCTCTGCCCTTTACCAACCTCAGGGGATAACAGAATTTAGGGTGGTGAGTAGAAGGGGGTGAGGAGGTGCTGAGGAAATCTGATTACTGTGATCCTAATTGGGTGCCTCAGCCAATGGTGGTGTTTAGGTAGGTAGTTCCAAAGGCCCTATGCCAGTAACATTCTGATAAGCCCTGATTGGTAGCATTTGTGGACTTCAAGCAGCATGTAAACGTGGAAGAGATGTGTATCAGGGGATCTCACAAGCC